AGTCAAAATTCAAGGTCAAGGTCAAACACTCAACAATCATATTTTATTTGGAAATTTAAGGACTTATCACAGGTAATGTACATGTGAAATATCAAAGACCTAACTTTTGTAATATTAGAGTTATGATCAAAATTAGTGTTTTTGTGACAGACTTACAGACAAATAAGATTAAATGTACCCTCGCTTTAGCAAAAGCGGGGGACAACAAACAAAACAAAATCAACAGACATAAGACATTGTGAAGAATGTTTTTTTTTATTTGAGATAACATATATGTAAATTCAATTCAAAACTACTTCTGCAGAAATCTTTTGTACTTCAAAAACAAATTCAGTTTAACATAATACTGTCAACCCTGCATCCATGGCCGATACTCAAATTTCACATTTAAGGTACACTATACATGTATTTTCATGATGGATCAACAGAAATAGAATTACTGTAATGAAAGGAAAGTTCTGCCAAAACAATAACTTTTTCATTTAAGAACTAAAAGCATGCTAAGGTATTCACAAAAGATTGTCAACACATGTGGGTCTTTTCTTTAATAATATTCTCAACGTCCTTCAAAGACTGCTTGATATTTGTAAAGACTTTGACAAGTAACTGTGAACCTTAACTAAATTATTTTGACATATCTTTTTCATTTACCAATCTTCATTTCATACCAATCATGGTATTACATGCATTCCAGAATACTGATTTTTGTCCCTTTTTATTAAAAAAACTGTATAAAATCTTTAATGTACTCTTACTTGTTTGGAACTTCAGAAAAAATCTCTTTGACCCATTACCTCAAAATGATATGAGGTTTATATTACTGTAAACCAAATGTTTTCATGCAAAGTACTTTCCTAAGTTTGAACACAACCAGGGAATCATGAAATTTTGACCTTTTAATTGAGTACAATATTTTTTCTAATTATCAAAAGTAAAGGCAGCTTAGAACATAGTAGTCAAGAAGAAAACATCTTAGCATCTGAGCTCAAAATGAAAGAGAAATGATTTACAATATATTGTATCATGTTACATGTATATGTGTGTTTCCTATGACAGACTGGAGACAATAATAATTTTAGTTGGGGAAGGAGTTTAAAACCTTAGCCAATATATAGATAGATTGATTCACAATTTTCTAAGTATAGAAAATAATGCATGTGCTGGTTGTTATTATAAGAGTATACTTGCTTTTCAATTGAACTGGCTAGTCAGTTCTATTGCATACTTGTGTGCTGGTAGTTTATCTGAAATAACAAAATTACACACTAAAAAAGATGTGTTTGTGAAACACTGATGCCCCAGTATGGCAACTCATAACAAAGGTTAAACTTTCTCAAATGCAAATCAAATCAAATATGTTGGTACCAAAATTAAGGTCTTGTCTCGAGGAATAAACCTGTGAAATATGAAAGTCTTAGTAGCAATCATTGAATAGATATGGAAAAGGTTAAAGTTTTTTCAAAAGTATGTCAAACATCAAGTTCAAGGTCAAATGGTCAAAATTAATGGTGCCTAGGGAAAGGCCTTCTCCCAAGAAATACACAGGTGAAGTATGAAAGCCCTAGCACTAACCGTTCAAAGGTTATGGCCAAGGTTAAAGTTTTCCAAAAGTAGGTCAACTCCAATGTCAAGGTCAAAGGGTCAAAGTTGTTGGTATCCAAAGGAAGGTCTTGCCAAATAATTACATATTTGAAGTATGAAAGCCCTAGCAGCAATTGTTTAAAAGTTATGGCCAAGAATGAAGTTTTCTAAAAGTAGGTCAAACTCCAAGTCAAGGTCAAAAGGTCAAAGTTGTTGGCATCCAAACAAATGTCTTGTCACAAGAATTACACATGTGAAGTATGAAAACCGTAGCACCAATTGTTCAAAAGTTATGGCCAAGATTAAAGTTTTGTAATATTTTGCAAAACTGGGTCAAACTCCAAGGTCGAGGTCAAAAGGTCAAATACAGTTGTACGTTAAGAAAGGTCTTGTCACAAGGAATACACATGTGAAATATGAAAGCCATAGCTTCAACGAATCAAAAGTTATGGGCAAGGTTAATGTTTTTGCGGAGAAAGAGACAGACAGACGGAAAGGCAAAACTATACACCTCCTAATCTTCGATACGGGGGCATGAAAAGTGTTTCTAATTACTCAAACCAAGAGAGTGCAATCCATAAATTAGTATTTGAAAATATTTGCTTGTTATCTTGAGCATGTACCATAAATTTTTCTTTCAGCAATCTTGATATTGTGGAGGATCCCTCCCCTTCACCTCCAGTACCTACTGACATTCCCGAGGATGCCATCAATGCTAGAGTACCACTGGATGCTCTCTATCAAGTGTTGCACCATGGAGAGATTGCTAGTGGTGACAGCCACCGCTGTAGTGTATCAGCTGATCCAGAGGATGCCACATCTAAGGTCAATAACTGAACTAATAAGAGAGTTCTGTTCAGTCCAACATTTACTTGTAGATCCAGTACAAGTATTTCGTATGAACTATTCAGAATTCAGAATTGTTATCAACATTTATCAGAAATATCTGAATTTGCATGCATGAATGCATTTAATAATCTTGTTCGTTTTTTTGTTTGTGTACTTTAAGGATACACATATAGTAATTCCTTTAAGTTTTAATTTTGATTTGGAGTATGTTGATTATTTAAAGGAGAAGCTGTCAAGTGTGTACCAGGAGTTGGGCAGTGATAATTTAGAACCTCTTCCCTACAAAGTCCTTGTGGAACATCCCCTCATAAAGATGTAATGGCTGCCTGTTAAACATTTAAATCTCTGGAGCACTCAATAGCTAAAAAATTCTATAAATGTATAACTACATTCTTGCCAAACTTTCAAACATACCCGAAAAATGGAAATGAATTTTGTGCAATCTGGACTATACACTTTTGAAATGACGTATATATTTAACCTAGCTCCTCTACAGAAATATGCGCGTACAATTATGACCTAATTGAAGACTTATTATTATGAATCCCGAGTACTGGCAAGTAGCATGTATATAAAAAAAGTGCTATGGTTTTAATTATTATTTTGCAAGATATTCATGGAATTCTTAATAATCCAACCTAAGATATGGATATCCACAGCACAAAAAACAATGGAATAGAAGAAAACAAATGCTTGAAGAAATGATAATTCAGAAGATTCACCTTTTTTGCATATACTTGGACAGAAGAAAAGTAGACTACATGTCCCTAGCCTATTTAGATAGCATGATTTTTAAAATGTACAGATGTAAATGATTTATTTCTATTAAAGTATTTAATAATAGCATAATTTTGGTGTGAACTGATTATACCCTTTGCAATCTGTGATGGAAGTCACATGACCCGTGACGCCCTCACATACCAGAGGCACTGCATTTATCTGTGATTAGCACCTGGTGATGGGATTTGAAGTGATGGGAGGGGCAAATTCAATACCAGCACAAACTGCCAAGGCACATATATTTTTTACTGCATTTCGTTTTGGATTTGTCCCTGGCATTGTGGACTTCCTGTTATCTGCTGTCAACAGTAACTTAGTCCTAGAAGGCTGTTTATTAATGATATATCAATGTTAAATGTGTATTTATTTAATTTGTTTTAATATTTTACAAGATTGAGAGCATTTATTATTCATGATTGATAACATGTAATCTGTGATAAAAATCTGAAGAATGTAATTCTGGTTGTTTAATAAACTGATGATAACTGATACAGGTATTATTATTTTGTCTGTTTATAGGCAATGCATATGCATATATTACTAGAGGTACATGAGCCACAACAGTTACCTTGGTCCAAGGATAACTATTTTAATTATTATTGTACATTTATATTTAAGATGACCTTGACCGCACCTTTCCAAAATTGCATTTATATCAGTTGGAAAGTTTCAAACAAAATTGACAAAACTTCAAATGCAGATTCAGATTGATAAAAGCAATTTATCTGTCATAATTTTGTGATCCATGTTCCCTTCGACTTCGACCTTGATATATTTTTTCTTTATTTTCCTCCTAGTTCGTATTACATTGTATTGAATTCAGAAAAGGATCACTTCATATTCTATACACAGATAAATCTCAGTGAGACCAAATCATTTGAGAATTTTGACTTGAGAAACATGGGACATTTCCTTTCATATTGCATGTTCTTAATGCCTAAGGAACCATCCTATGTTAGTAATTTGCTATATGAACATTCATCATACCTTGATTATTAATATATATACAGTTCTCCTTTTCATGGGCATAAAAATAAAAACCAAAGTCGCTGTCTTACCCATCACTCACGAACAATAAATGTATAAAAGACATTCTGAAACCAAACCTTGCTGATCTATATGGCATTTTCCGTCTCCCCATTGATTTCTATCATTCTGTGATCCAATAAAATAATGAATAAGAAAAAAGAAATCATTCAAAAATTTATTAGATTTCCCAATGTCAATACAAAGAATGATTATATAGCTACATATACTGTATAGAGGCTCCACCTTTCCACATGCGTTGTCATCCATGAATAATCTTTATCAGTGATATGATGCCCTCACCATATTCCAGTCTCCTTTATGTAAAGTTTTGGTATATTATAAAGATTTAATACAGTCAAACCTAGTTATCTCAAACTCAATAGGACCAAGAAAAAACTTCGAGATATCCGAGTATTCGAAATATCAAGGGTTAAATACTTAAAGAATAAGTGGTTGGGACTTCCAATTCACTTCGACATATACATGGTATTCGAGATATCAGTGTTTGCGATACCGAAGTTCAACTGTATTCACTTTTTGAAAGCTTTTTATTTCTTTGTGGTACATGTAAATCTTTCACCATGTTTCATTCCCTTATAAAATAATCTCATGCTTAATTACCACAATGACTGAATGTCCCTCTTCCTGAATGATAGTTTCTTTTCTTTAAAAGATCAAAATATTGAAACAATTAAAACAGAACTAAACCCCCATCCCTCCCTTTCTTCTATATTGATCATTGTGCCTATCTTCAACCTTCATCATTTTGTGATACAGTGGTAGTCAAACATTGTGAGTTTAGATCTGAGGTGCTGTATGTCACTGATACATTGATGATCTGGGTAGTTACAGTCTTTGACAGGTCTTACAACATAGCCCTGTTCTCTATTACATTTGTCTGTGTTAGCTTTCTTCTGGGGAGGTTCCACTTTATCACTCTTCCCATCTACTTGCTCCACTTCTGGGTTTCCAAGAACCTGAACACCAATAATAGATTAAAATCAAAGTTAATGATTTTTTTTTCAACTTTGAAAGTTCATTTTGTTTTATATATAAATTCACAGCAAGCAAGTAGACTCTAATAAAGACACCAATAAGCTTTACAAAGATAAATATCTAACATGTTTTTGCATGTATCTTAAATTCATGTTCAAAACAAGTTTTCTAGAATTTTGCAGTAAATACTGATGTGAGTTTTTATACCTGAAAAATAAACTTATCCGTTTCTGGTTTTCTCCCAGATACTGTTTGTACCAGTTCCGCGGGTCTTCTGTTAATATCCTCAGTACAGCTACCTACAGTATTAAGAAGTTGATCACTCCAAGGTATGAACATTCATACAGATTAGAATATCTATCTACAATAAATGTTATAATAGCACTCCAGACTTCAAATACGTGTAAAATTGCATCAGAAAACATATACATGCACTTAATTCACTAGCTGTCCTTTAGATCATTATAACTAATACAGTGTGTAATAAAGACCTCTTTCTCTAGTCGGTCAAACACGTAGTTTTGTTCCTTGCACTCCCCCCAGTATCTGTTGACTTCCTCCTCTAACTGTGTGTCCTCTGTAAGCTTGGCTGCTATCAGAGACTCCACCTTAAATATACCACAATGACGTAAGATACACCACAGGGACTTCAGACTGGACTGTTACAGCGAGTCCCATGATGCCATTGGTCACCAGATTCTGACAGTATACAGTGTATCCCAGCTGTAATTGTGTCCTCAACACATCAAAACAGGGTTCCTGCATTCTTAACTATGCAAAAAGAAGTTTACATGTGGAGTGCCATACATATATGTGAGGAATGTAGCTCGCTTATACATCAATAACAGAAAACACGGCAAAAGATGTATAAATAATAAATGAAAATAAAAAAAATGAAAATCAGACTTCATGGAGTACTCTGACTAAATCTTTAGAGAAGCTTATGACAGTTACATCTAAGAGTTCGTTAATGACAGTTGACCTGATATCCCCGGGGTCAGACTGGAGGTACACAGTGATGCTAGAGTTGGCATCCTCCATGTTAAAGCTGTTTGTCTGGCAGTAACTCCACTGTTTAGGAAGCTGGTACAATATTCTCTACAAAAAACATGAAAAAAATGAAACTTTCTAGGTATCTAGTTGAATAAAGATTCAATACATTAAATGTAAATTTTAAATCAATCTTATAGTGCATACTATATTCATATTGTTGAGCACATAAGAACTTTCACGTTTCAGCTATTACAGGAATAAAAGAAAATTAGCCCATCAAATGCACTAAACACTTTAGATATTTTAGACATAAAATGGACCCCCCTCTCTTTCGTCCTGTTAATTGTTTAAAATATACAAATTTATTTTTTTCCTACCATATATCTATTTTACCTGGTACATTTTAGAAGGTTCCACTTTTCCACATAATTTTGATTCCACTCTCTTTATACCAAGTTGCCACCTGCGAAATAGGAAATTCATAAGTAAATTACAAATCTGTTGCAGTTGATTTAAAGATTTAAAATGACATTACAAAATGAAGAAACAAAAAATAAAAGTTTGGGCACACCCCAGAAGCCAGCCAGTGACAGACAGGGTTGGAGAGAGCTCACCATTGCCCTATACTCCAAAGGTGCCAGGGCCAGCAAGTATGAAGTACTAGTCATATTTCATAAACTTGCTCTGTTTAACTGGACAAAGCTAAAGTTCTTTGTAACCATTTGTCATTAGCCTCATCTTCCTCAGATTTACCTTGGGTGTAACATTGCCAACCACTAAGATGTCTGCTTTTATACTCTGTCTGAACTCTGTTAGGAAGTGTCGAAGATCCTCATTGGTCAAACTATCAATTATACTGTATATTTCAGGTGCGGGCCTGTAGTGGCCATGGGGATCTATCACAGAAAATCGTAGGATTCTGTAGGGAAAATCAACAAAGAAGAATGAATATAACAGACAACGACAATTTTATCTGTCCATTCATTGTGAAAATGTAAATATGTGTAGTGTGGAAAAGGGAGGGGAAAATCTGTAGTATGATGGTAAATAAAAAATACATTATCAACTGAATAAAATAAGTTTTTATCATCATCCAACCACTTTTCCTTCATTAAGGGTTGTTAGAAACTAAAATTCAAGTATTCAATTGGCAATTCAAGTATAAAATTAAGTAGCTTTTCAGTTTGGTTTGTTAGTAGGTTAGATCTAAAGTCATCATAATTCGTGATACTTTGTATTTCTTATTTATGTATAGAAATGGATGGACTGTCACGATATTTCATGGAGCAAAAAATGACTTCTAATCAACACAGACATTCTTGCCTGACAAGTTCAAATGGTCTGATGATGGCATTAAAAATCTCCCTCTTCACTTTATGTCTCATGATGGGAAACAACTCATCATTGCAGGCATAGTCAAAAACAGCTGTCAGAAGTAGATCAAACAGCTCCTACAACAGACCATTAACAAACCAATGCAGGCTTATCAGATTAAGCAGTATCATACACATATTTTGGAACATATTTTGCATTAAGATGTACATATAATTAAATGTATGTTCTTATACGGGCCTCCATTAAACAATAGGATGATTATAAAAGAAAAAAGAATTTGTTTGTACAATTTGATAAGAATTCCTACAGGCAATTTCTGGTTAAATCCATTCACTTTGAATTTAAGTCCTGTATCATCCACATTGATTGAGTAGCTGAAATTTAAATCATTTTAATCAAGAATAAAAAGTCTATCATGATAACCAAATACAGTTGAACTTCAGTATCTCAAACACTGATATCTCGAATGCCAGGGATACGTCAAAGTGATTTGGAAGTCCTAACCCCATATTCTTTAGGTATTTTACTCTGAATATCTCTAATTCTCGATTTTTTTTCTGGTTCCACTGAGTTTGAGATAACAAGGGTTGACTATAATATGAATTTATAGGACAAAACCTATAAATTAAGTACACCAGTACATAAAATTACTTTGCATTTTTTGCAGAATCAATCAATATCATTGAAGGTACCTGTAGTTCTACATTTATTTTAAGTAAATAATGAACATAAAAGAAAGATTAGTATAAAAATAAGATGGACTTTTTAACTAAATAAACTAGAAGACTTAGTACTGTGAGCACTGAGCTATCAAAATGATACCCCCATCTCCCATATGTTCATAATGGCAAGGTCCGAAATAAGTGTCTGATCAAAGAGTAAAATAGGAGGTGCACAATGGCAATATGTAATAAAGATTCTGTGAAAGTATATTTAAATTTCATTCAGTGGTATAGGAGAAATTGAGGATATGTGATGGTTAACTCTGAATATTATAGAAGGAATGGCAGTGTTCTATGTTTAGACCGTGAGCGCATGTTTGTCTATTAATCTCCGTTTGACACAGCATTAGTAATGTAAATATACAGCTACTGTTAAAAGGAGAACAACAGACAAACATGTGCTAACCACGTAAAAAGTAAGTAAAAAAGTGGGCGTCCTCATTATCGTATAGAGATTCAAAAAATTGTGATGATCCCCGCCTTTGAAAACAGATTCGTACTTCATACATACTTTTATTTTATGTAATTATGTCCGCCTTTGAAAACAGATTCGTACTTCATACATACTTTAATTTTATGTAATTATGTGAAGTTGTAGATTAGATGATGACCATTTCTGCATTTAAAAGAAAAATGCTTGTTTTGAAAGTTTGTTTTGTCGTAAATTTCGCATGTCCTTAAGTGCAATCATCTTTTCATTCAGTGGTATAAAGGGAGTTGTGGATGAGAGGTGTGAACCCCAAAGCGTAACAAACGGACAGACAGATAGATGGAGGGACACCCCCATCACTATACATGCCCTGCTTTTCAAGCAGGGGTGTAAAAATCTGATCACTTGATAGTCATTACCAGAAATATATTAATGGATGCAGTACGCACCAACATCCCCCCAAAAATAATAGCTTTTAAGCAGAGCTGACAAATTTCTTTATTGTCTATAAATTGTAGGAAATATTTTGTTATTTCTATTATATCTAAAAAATATGGACTGGCAAGTTGCTTCTTTAACAATTGTAGTCAATACAGTAAAACTTGTCTAATCCAGTTGTTGTCTATTCCAAAACCTTGCCTATTATGATGTAAACTTTAAGTTCCTCCTAGTTAATTCAAGTGATTGCAGATTAAAATGTAGTCTAATCTGGAATGTTGTCTTGTCCAGTTTGTTATCTAATCTGACCAATTTCTATTGAAACAGTCCTGGTAAGACAGGTTTCACTGTAGAATGCATAAATCAATGACCAAAACCTATACCATACTTTCTATTAACGGGTGTAGTATTGGAACACATTCTCAAGCTCAAAATCAACTTACTCAAAGCCAGCCATGATAGCAGGATATGTGGGGGCATCCAATTTATGGCTCATCACAGCCTCGAATATTTTCAGCAGGCCTTGGCTGCAAAAAACTATTAATTATTGTAGCTGTCGGTGTAGAGTGTTCAGCAAACACACAACTTTTATTTTTCCAATATCTAGTGAAAATTATAGAGAAAACGTTTGTTAACAAGAAACATTTAAAGCATTAAGTGTACAGGAATTATCTAATCTCATTTGATCATTACTTGAGTTCTGTTAATTGATCTGAATGAAAATACCAGCACTTTGTTATGAATTTGCACTTACTTTCTTAATTCTATTGCTGTATACACCATGTCCTCAATGAAATCTTACTTCTTCACTGATTGGCTGGCCATTGGTGACATCAACTGAACACACACATAAGCTACAAAAGAATTTTTTTCATTGTAAACCATGAAACTTTTAACTATCAGTAAAACTGCATGATCTCACAAATGTCTTTAAAAATGCAGGAATATCATCACCCATATACTCTTTACATAGGGATAACTTTGTAAATGATATAAAGATACAATACATCAATTTTTGATGAGGAAAATGTTGCTAACACGGTACAATGTTTTGAAAATGTACATTTCTCTTTAAATGACAGTTTTAGAAGAATAGAAAATTGCAAGACAAACTAATTTCCCCATACACAAGATGTTTTTCACCTGAATAACGCATTTTTTGTTTGATGTATTTTTTTAGTACAGGACAGTTTTTCATGTGAGATCAAGCTCCATATATGGTACATTGACCTATAAATGTGGTTCACTTTATGAATTATCTCTTTTTTTAAGTGGAGAAACACTAACCTTTTGGAACTTTGAATTTCATATCTTTCTTGTAGTACAATGTACACAACTCATTTTCTGACAGAGTTATAGGATGCTGAAAGAGAAAAACTTCCAATTATATACATGTACATTCTAAAAGAATAACTTCATGAATTAACTTTGCTACAAGTACTAGCTGTACATGAATCAGTTTATTTCAAAATCTAGAACAAAGGGGGAAAAAGCTAAAGGAGACAAGCCCCTGTGACCTTTGTACAATACTTTGCTTCCACCTCTGCTATTGTAAAATCTGTAGCTGTGAAACAGAATGAACATATTAACATACACTGGAACATAGATACTAATTGTATTTTCTATAGTATGCTAATATTCATGTGTAGTGTACAATGTGAATTTTAATTCTGAATGCTGAGAATAACATAATTTACAGTATAATAAGAATACAACATACATACCTTTTGATTTGTTTGGTTGTGATAAGCAAAGGTCAGGATTTTTAGGTGGAGCTGAAAGATAATACATACAACCAATCTATTATCTAGGTTGGTTTGAGCCTAGCTGCTTGGCTTAGGTGAACTAAAATTTAAAGTTTATGGCTACAAACTATAAACTGAATAGGATGAGGTAATGGTCCATAAATATACATATAAAGAAAATTATTTCTTTTGCCAAAAACATGAAAGAACAAGGTATGGTTTCAATTATACAAAATTTGCCCTGTATCTTTCTTAAATATGAAAGAGATGTAAGAAAATGAAACTCATGCTTTCTGAATTAATGAAATTCCATGAAGTAGGAAGATGCATATCGTTTTTCTCATATGACCTCATAAATGCTAATTGTGACGTCATGAACTTGTGCATTTTCCCGTATTTTCTTAAAAAGTAACAGAAGACATCAATTTTCAGTAGAATTTTCTACAAAATAATATAGAGCACATGCATCGCCCACAAAGATATTAATATATCTGATTTTTAAAACGATTTTACACAACATATCTAAAAATGGCAGTGGGCGATGGCTATGGACACTATTTTCTGAAGGAAAATAATCCCAGAAATGAGTCATTTTGAGGCTTTTTCTGTTTAAAATGTAGAAATGTAACACATTTATGACGTCATATTTCCACAATGGTCCTCCTTTATACCATATTCTTTCATGATTTATCACATTTCTCTACTCATCTTATATTTTAGCTCAATTGCATAACATTTTAAGAACATTAAATTTTTAGGGCACAATTAAGCCCAAACCGTACCTTCTTCTTTGATCCTCATGGAAATTAATGAAACTTTGGTTATAAATCATTGCCTTATGTCGTCTAGTGATTTGTATATTATTAGTATATAGTGCATTGTTGAGTTTATACTTTGCCATTTTTGAATCCATTCAGGTTTGATTTCTGCCACTCCATACCTCACAGGACTCCATTTGATATCTTGTCTGTCACATTTATCTGACAGTTGTTTGGACGACAGAAAAATACAACAGTTGTCTCCCCTTAGATCTGCCAGACACTTAACAATCAGCTGAAGAAATAATAAGAAAAAAACTCAAAAACTCTGAATATTCAGTAAATTTCATTAAAATATTGCTTATATATTTACTAGACCTACCTCTGGGTCATATTCATACATTAAATCTCTGCCAGTTAAAACATCCTCTGGGGAAAATATCTGCATGTTTTCTGAGACTTTCTCCACATAATCCATTGCATCTCCCTAAACCATAAACAATGCTCTCATCCAACAAAATAAACTACATGTACAATTTTATCTCAACTTTCTTTCTTATGAAAAAGATGTACGATTTACTTCTCCACTAACATTATAAACAAATACAAATCATGATCATTAATTTTTCAAAGGATCCTTGTGCATCCTGTCCTAGCTGATACAGTAAGACATGCTTATAATGAAGTGCCAGGGATGGATGATTTTGCTTTGTACTAAACATAATTCATTATAACCATTGAGTTTACAACATATTTTAAAGCCACAGGGAATGAAGATCACTTTGCTGTAAGCATCAATTCATTATAAGTGTGTTCACTTTAAGCATGTTTTACTGCATTTTTTATCTTGAATTTTTAATTAAATACATGTAGATAGTAGATACTATTAAAATGACTGATTTTTAAGAACACTCATAGTCTAGTCAATTGACCAAGAATTCAAAACACATGCATCAATTTCAGATTTATTTTATCTTTGTGAAATAATGATCTAGTAAAATGCATCAAAAGAGTTAAATTGAACAAAATTACACTTTCATGAAAAAACAGGAATTCAGTTATTCCAGCAAAACATTGGATGAATTTACAGAGTTATGTCCGTTTTCTATTAGTAATTCCCATACAGCTAATTTAAATCATGTCAAAATTATTCTTTCCACTCATTAGATTTTTTTTTTTTAGATTTTTTTACTGCAAATATTTTGTACACGTTTAATATCATTTATGATAAAATAATTTCTGTTGCAATTAGTTTTAGTTGGGCCCATATTTTCGCTAAATTGACTGTACTTCTACCTTTTCTTTAAATCTAAATTTGGTTTCCTCCACTATCTTCATCTCATCAAAGTACTGCTTCAGTGGTCCTTTACTCTTAAGTAAGTATATGTACTGGAAAACTGCCAGCAGAACTTCCTCAAACTGTTCAAGTCCACTGTCAGTAAGGGTCAAGTTCACCACAAACTGGGTGGCAGTGGTGTTCAGTTCAAATCCATTATGTGGCCACTCTCCACTGCTGTGGCAAAATACCTACAAAATGTTTAAAAAATACTCAATCTTGAAGGGAAACAAATCATTAGAAAAATATATGTAGTACCATAAAACAAACTTCTCCGTTCCTCACAATGTAGAGGGTTATTTAATGTAGTGAAAATTTCACCTTTCTTTTACCTACTGGGAGATGTGAATTATTTTGTCAATTAGTTTGCAGAAAGGCGATGCTTATGGGCAACTTCCCTGAAATTTTTGGGGTAAATGTCACATTAAATAATGCCTCAAAAGACTAAATTTGCAATCAACATAAGTTTATACAATCATATAGGTAGATAAAATCAGATACTTTAAAAAAATCATAAGGTATTCCTAAATTATTAATTGAAAATAGCCTCATTTTTGTAATTATGAAGCAGTATGGTATCAGGTTTCTGTTCCTCTATAAATCTTATTGTCTGAGACCTCTTTCTTCAAACAAAATACTTTTTGTACACCACAGACATTTAAATCTATACTTATCAACAACCAGGAAGTAAATTTCCTTATCAACATAGCCTCCCTGTAAATTCATTCAAAATGGCCGGCTGATCAATAAAAGTCACCTTGGAGATAAACAGTAAGTTAAAAGATCGTAATGCTTTGATCAATTAACTTATTAAACCATAAAGATTCAAGAATTTTTATAAATTAGAAGTCTAAATTCGTTGTAGGGTGACTTACCAAGTTCGTTCATTTTAATGTTTATAATAAATTTTCGGTATGTTTCTAATACTGTACAAAAAAACCTCTTTTAATACCTTGTACATTTAAAAATTCCCTTGATTCTCATCAAGTCATCGTAATTAAGAAAAGAAATACATTTTAAAACATCTTTTCTTCAGAACAGCATTTATATTAATTTACTAAATAGATAATACTTAATGGAACTCTTTTCAGATGGCTTTGTCAAAATCACAATTACCAGGTAGACCCCAACACTTTTTAGAGTGTGGTATTGAAGACTGTGAGAGAAACTGTGAATTTTACTGCAACCTTTGCCACACAAGATTATGTAAACAATGCAGGGATGAACATCTGAGAAGTCCAGAAACAAAACGCCATGAGGTAGTCCTATACCAACAACGCAAACGACAACTGCCCACAGAAAAATGCAAGATCCACCCCACCAAAGATATAGAACTTCTTTGTGATGAATGTAAAATCCCAATTTGTTCCAAATGCACTGCCACACAAGAACATAGAGGTCACACATTTACTGATCTGGAATCCATTTATACAGAGATGTTTTCCCATTGTCAAAGAGAAATTGCAAAAATTCATGAGTATTTCTTGCCAACATCTCAAGATTTACAGAGAGAAATTAATGAAGATACCAAAGAAATCAAGAAGATCATGGACAAGTTAAGAACCTCCATGAAGGCTGAAGCTGAATCCCTAAAATGTATGGTGGACTCGGTGACTTCTGAAAATATGGAAGAAGTGAACAAGATAGAGCAGTCATTATTGGAAAAACTAAATAACCAAGATACAACAATAGAAAAGTATATTACCTACCTCAATGACCTGGATAAAAAGTTCCATGTTTATATGTCCTCTTTAAAACCTACAAAACTTGTTACTGCAGAGGATATGCAATTCCAACCCATACCAGATACAAGAAAACCAGTGGTGCCTATATTTACTGCTGGGAAGTGCAGCAAAAAGGATGTTGCCAAATTACTGGGACAAATAACTTTTCCAAACATTGAAAAAGAGATGAGAAGAGTACAACCCCTAGAATCAAAAATCCCTTCACATCTGAAATCAACAAGCTACGTGTATCAAGTAATGGAAGACAGTCAACAATTATCTAACATAAAACAAACATTGTCTCTATCTTCCTCTGTCACTGAGGTCAGGGAGTTCAATGTACCAGGTGTTAAAAAAGTGTTCCATATATCACAAGATCAGTCAGACAGACTCTGGGTCAGTGACAGGAATGGTAACCTTGTCCAAACAGATCTACAGGGGAATCAGATACAGAAGATAAAAACCAGTGGGGTATTTGGATACCACACAGTGACACAGAATGAGGATCTTATCTTTACAGTCGATAACAAGAAAGTCATCAATAGGATAACACAGGATAACAATATCACTGAATTCATTAGAACAGACTGGGTACCATGCAGCATACACTCCTCCCACATCAATGGGGACATACTGGTGGGGATGATGATGGGTGACGAGGCTAAACTGACCAGGTACAACAAGACAGGGAAAGAACTACAGAACATAGAGAGAGATAACAAAGGACAAGGACTGTATAGTCAACCATTCTACATAACAGAAAACATCAATGGAGATATCTGTACATCAGACTACGAAAAAGAGGCAGTAGTGGTGGTGATTAAATCAGGACAACACAGATTCTCCTACACAGGTCAGGAGTCAGGGTTCATTCCCTTAGGAATCTGTACTGATGTCCTTGGTCACATACTGGTTTGTGATATTAACAATGTTCACCTCCTTGATCAGGATGGTCAGTTTTTATCTCTACTAGTCACGCGAGAAAGAGGGATTTATCCTATCAGTGTATGTGTGGATGATGAGAACATTCTTTATGTGGGACAAAATCGTAACAATACAGTTATAGTAATTAAATATCTCCAATCAATGAACATAGAATAGTGTACCATTTTTCACTTGAAGTTCGTATATCTTTCTTTTATTCTCTGTATTATAGAGGATATTCAATGTTTTATTTCACAAAAGGGATAGGATTTTTAATATTTAATGACTACAAAGCAAAACTACGAGAAAAGCCTATTTGTATCAAGTAAAAATATTACCCCCTACTGACTTGTAACTACAATAATTAACTTGTAAATACGAGAAAAGATCTCATTATTCCAAGAAAATCATCTCTTAATTCAAAGAAAATTATATTGTAATTATGAGAAAAATTATACATATAGAACTGAGTTGCACAATTTATGACTTATCTAGTGAATAATTTTATCAAAACGTGTTATTGCTTAAAATTTGAAAACAAAGAAATTCTGCAGATTTAAGCATATTTAGGGAAATAGGGAATAAGTGTCTGTGTGTTTTTTAAATGTTTTATTCAATCAATGTTTTTTTATGCTGTAAACAACCAGTATGTTTTCAGGTAATTTATGTATAAATGCCAGAAACCATTATTCAAATAGGAAAAAAGTGCACTGCCATGGCACATGATATGCCAGTCAAATATTGTTCAATTAGATAAGAGTGCAAGGAAGAAAATCATGTCAACCTGATACAAAGATTCCAATGATTCTTCCATGCTAATGTTTGAAAGTGCCTATTCTATGTTGTAGTAATTAATGAGAACAAATTATACATCATGCATTTCTCAACTGGTTGTGTTAGAGTTTAACAAATGCCTATTTACACTTTTGTTTACTGTATTTTTATGAAAAATGAACAATGCTAGTGCCCATTAAAACATCAAAATACTAATCATTATTTTATTCTTGAACTGTAAAACTGTCATCTTAGTGAGACATGACACTCTGCAATTCCTTGTTGAGATATAAAAATTAGAGTATTATACAATATCATATTAATTTAATAACTTGATACCAAATTTATTTTGAAAATACATGTAATGGCTAACCAATGAATAAGAACTATTTTCATTTGACAAATGCATGTACTATCAATTGCAATTAAGAGGTCAGAATCATCTGCCCAATTCCCAACAAATATAGATAACATCTGCTTAGTCAGAGATGCTCTACCAGAAATCTCCTTACATTAAACTCATCAATTAATCTCTGATTGGACATATGCTCTTATCAATGCTTCTTCACACACTTGCTTATTAATTATTATACCTATGGGTGCAATTTCTCTTGTTATTGACACAAAAGAAATATTATGTTTGTTTTATATTGCTGTATTCTTTACCACAGGGCTAGAAATAATTATTTTTTATTTTCTGGTCACTCGGGCTATCGCCTTGAATTTTTACTGGTCAGCTTAGTACTTTCACTGTCCCACCGGGTCAGTAGATATTAAGAAGACTGGCCCAAAACTGTAATAATAATAGTAATATTGTTTTAAATATTGTGATATTTAGAAGTACAACTTAACAAAACAAGAAACAACAGAAGTTGGAACACATAACCCTGTCAAGTTAACTAGCCCGACTGTGAATGAATTTCATTATGCATAAAAAAATGCTGACCCAAAGGACACATGCCCTCTGCAAAGTACTAGCCAAGATTGAAAATTCATTGCCCCAGACCAGCGGGACATCAATTATTTCGAGCCCTGTTACCATGAAAATAAGAGTATTTCCTAGATTTAAAATTTTTAAATAAGATTACTGCAATACTCTTACACCAGGCACCAGTTCACTCTGTGGAAACGGACTAGGGTAAACATGGTAAAGTGCGTTACCCTAGTCCAAGATGGCGATCTAGGCAAGAATGCTTAACATTTTCTTGTACAAATATTGGTGAGTCACTATATCTAATTTGCATTTGTTGGTACTTGACAGTAACGGAGTTAAATCCGCATTGGGGGTAATTGAAATAAACTTTTATCAAATGTTATGCGAAAATAACAAACAGTAATCATGCTCAAAGTCCAATTAAACAATATAAATTGTGAGCAGAGCAAACAAGGACCTCTGAAAACATCAGAGGTGAGATCAGGTGCCTTGGGGAGTAGGCATCATCTTTCGATCGGTCACCTTCGCCACGTATCCTTTGTTTTAATCAGATAAAGGGAAAATGTGTTCACAATTCAGTTAGAAAATAATGAACTAACAATTTAAATGAAAGACATCAGTCAACATTCGAGCTAACAACATAATGTATTTGCTAACAAGATCATTGCATTGACCATAGAATATACGAAATGTTGGCCTTTAACGAAATTGTTGATACCCTTATCATCAACTTACTTGTCAGCAGCGCAGTCGTTTTAGAAATCGTTCATACGAATCTTCGAATCCACTGGCAACATAAACCCTAATTGCAGGTGAATATGATATATTGCTACACAAATAAGGGAAGTTGATGATAGAATATTTGGAGTCATCACGTTTATAATCTTTTAAGCCTAGGTGTTAGTTTACCATCAATGTCTTTCTTGAGTAAAACATCTAAATATGAAATGTGTCAGAATCTGTGGAATCTTTCATTGAGTTTAATGGGACATATCAAATCAATGTTTGAATGAAAATAAATATTGTTAATGACAAAGCATCATCAATATATCTAACTGTTAAATTGAAGGTCACAGCAAAAGACTTCTTTTTAACAGTTGATCGCAAACATAGAAACAACTGTCGGATTTTGTTTTAAAGTATAATAAATATAAATTGTAAGGATATTGAACAGTGATCAATCTCATAAATCCGTAAACAAAACGAAACATATAAATATGTATTTACAATGTGCACTGATGACGACATAGCTCCATCAATAGCTATTTACAAAAAATTGACAAATATGATGTAAGATAGTAGTCGAACTAAACACCTCCATTACAAAAGAGCACACTTTTTGTTCGGAAAGAATTTCTCTGCGTTGCTAAGGAGATTGAACTTAAGTGGTTTGATTTTCTAAGAATAATTTATTGAATGCTTGAATACCAATTTTTTCATAGTTAAGTACTTAGGTGCAATTTTTATGAAAAAAAACTCACACAAGTTTTCTGAATCGAAGCCCAGGTTAATCTGCATTTATCTTACTATTTGACAAATGCTTTGCCAAAGTTTTTCATTAGGTACAACAAAGTTTATTTTGTCCATTTTTCTCAATCTAGGGTTAAGCGTATAAGTGCTAGTAAAATAACATTTTCTGTATAATATGCAAATCTAAATACAAAAAAAGTAATCGAGAGAGTATATATAAGTTAATGACACAATGATATCAACCACCGCATTTAAATTCGACATTTCGCAAATTCTATGCTTGAAACAATGACCTTGTTTGCAAATACAGTCTATCGTCATGTCGAATGTTGACTGACGTCTATCATACGAATTAGTAGACCATTTTCCCCCATTTATCTTATCATGACAAAGAGTACATGGCAGGTTTTACAGGTCGACAGGGTATGCTCATTCCTGCATGGCACCTTATCCCACCTCTGTTTTCACTTTTCAGAGGTCCATATATGCTCATAATTTGTATTGTTTAAATTGGATTTTCAGTATGATTTCTGTTCGTTATTTTCACATTTCACTGATGGTACTTTAATTGATCTGTAGATATTTGAAAAGTTTTCCGCCGTTATCTAAATCAAGACTTTTCAAGACTCTTTTTTTTATAAACAGAAACATAAACAGATTTGAAAAAAAAATAGGCCATTGTGCTCTTACAGAAATTGCCAGCGCACTGAGAATTTTTCAATTACACAGTGTTTGTTGCAATGAATTATGAATTTACTGAAGAGTGCGTTCTGATTCTGCTGAAATAACGTTAACACTTTTTAAATTTAAACCCTGAAACAAGCAAAATGACATTTTACATATGCTTTACCCTAGTCACTCAAAGAGGTCACAAAATCTTTACCCTAGTAAAGTATTAAGTACATTCTTGGTATTTCTTATTTTAGACCACAATATATCCAAAATGGATTGCACATCCCCCTTAAAAAAGCTTTGCATGTAGTAAGAAGAAACAAAATTCTCTCTTTCTATAAAAGTTTGCCAAATTTACTTACTGGGAAATATGATCTATCTTGTCAATTTAGTTTGCAGAAAGGCAATTGTGGGGTGGGGGAGGAGAGAGGAGGCAACATTCCTGAAATTTCTGGGTTAAATAACAAACTATAAAATGCCCCAGAAGACTGAATTTATCACAAACAGAAGTTTATACAATCATACAGTTGATAAATCAAATGATTAGAAAAAAAAATTAGATACTCCATAATTATTCTTTTGTTCAAGAAACATAATTATGAACTTTGTGGTATCAGGTTAATGATATTGTACTTACTTACTTATCCTCTCCGTGCCCCGGAGGACGCATGAGGCCGTTCAACAAAGAACGCCACTTACGGCGGTCACTAGCAACAACCTGCCCCTCCTTTCAGCTGCTCCAACCTAGTTCTTCCCTTTCTCTCTCAACGGAGCGTCGCCAGGTGTTCTTTTTCCTCTTCTTCTCTTTCCCTCGGGGGCTCATGTGAGAGCTGTTCTTATGTGTGAGCTGCCTTCCCTTCGGAGGATGTGGCCTATCCATCTCCATCTCCTTCCTTTGATCGTCCTTGATAGAGGTATGGATCTTGTTTGTCATACAGTTGCTGATTAGATATCTTTTCAGGCCAGTGTATTTTTAAGATCCTCCTAAGGTTTTTCCGATGGAAGGTGTCCAGCTTTTCATCGCCTTTCTCGGTGGTTCTCAATAGTTCAGAACAATACAGCAACACATAAAACATTTGTGTTGAAGATCTTAAGTTTGGTCTTTGTGCCGTATTGTGCTGACTTTCATACTTTGGTAAGGGATGCAAAAGCAGTCCCGGCTAAGCCTAGCCTTTTCCCTATGTCCGTCTCAGTTCCTCCCGTCTTGTCCATTGTGGCACCCAGGTAGAGAAATGTTTCAACCTCTTCTACTTCCTTATCATTTAACCATTTAACCTATCATTTAACCTGATGCAAACATTCTTCTTTCCATTCATTCTCATGCTTTTTGTCTTGTCTACATTAATTTTTAAGCCCGTATACTCAGCGACGTCATGCAATCTCCTGGTCTTTTCTTGCATGTCGCTATGTTTGCTGGAAATAAGTGCAAATTCGTCTGCATCATCCAGGTCTTCTAAGGTGGAAAACCAGTCTTGTGTTTCCTCTTCTTCTGGCCCAAGATCTTTTCTGCTGTTTCATTATATACCTCTTTCACGAGGATCCATTTTTCGTTGACTGTGTTTTCCTCATTAGACAGTTGCTGAAACCTATTTCTTATTTCAAGCTGGAATCCTTTGCTTATTTTTGGATCTCTCAGCTTGTTGACATCATACATCCTCCTGTTGCTTTCCTTTGGTTTTAAGTTTCTGCAGAGTTTTATCTTTACTTTAGCCAGTACTAGATGGTGATCTGAATTGGCATCTGCACCACGCATAACCTTTACATCGCATATAGACTACCTGTATCTGCCATTCACCATTTCATGATCAATTTGGTTCCTATCTCTTCCATTAGGAGACTCCCCCATGTAAGCTTGTGTATGTCAAGGTGCTTAAAGAGGGTTCCACAGATGATTAAGTTATTTAGAGCGCACATTTCGGCTAACCTCATGCCGTTTTCATTCATAGTCCCAGTGTCCTCTTGTCCCATGACTCTTTCCCATCCTTCACTTTACTTTCCAACTTTTGCATTTGCATCACCCATTACCATCAGTATATCATGCTTTGGCACTTTTGCAATCTCTCTCTGTAACTGTTCATAGAACGTGTCCTTCATCTGCTTCGTTTGTTGGGCTGTATATTTGTATTAATGTTAGCTTAGTAAAGCGGGAGAAAAAGCGTGCATTGATGAATCTGTCATTAACAGGATTCCATTCCATCAAGCTTTGTCGGCTTTTCCTGCTAAGTATAAGTCCTACTCCTCTATGATGTTCCTCAGCTCCAGAGTACAAGATGGTCTCTCCAGAGGTTGTCTTTAGTTCAACAAAGCCTGTCCACCTTACTTTGCTCACTCCCATAATGTCCAGCTTATATCTATTAAACTCTCTTACGATGTTAGCTTTTCTCCCAATCTGGAACATTGTTCTTACGTTCCAACATCCGATCTTGGTGATGTTTTTAGGTGTTGTAATGGTGGCATCTGCGTTCCTTTCAGGCCGTTAGGGTCCTCTCGGCTTTTCCCAATTGCCGTCATTCTCTCGAATTCCCAATGAAGATAGTCCTCATCCGGAATATCGCATGTCGCACCTGCCCTTCCTTCAGTGGTACTGATTGTTGTAACGGTTTCCGTATTCACTTGTTTTTTATGGAAAGAGGTGATTAGCCTCAAGTCCAACCTCCAAATTTATGTCTGGGGGACCAACATAGTAGTTGATAATGGTCTCCTACTAAATCCGGGTTGTGATCAGAGTTTTCTCTCCTAGATGAGTTGCCGACCAAGGCTTTCGAGCCTCATCTTCCCGTGCGCCCTTGCAAAGTTAGCCTGGAGCCGAAAGGTGCCCAGTATCCGTCTGCTTCCACGTGGAGGCATCGCACAGGACTTGTTGTGGAGAGGCTATGTACTGGCAGGGGAAGACTTACAAATTGCTTCCCTTTTCGCATTGCTGCTAGCCAGCGGTGAGGGCTGAAAGCGAGAGGTGACAAGCACACAGACACCAACACCAACACACTAGACGCATCACACAACATTTAGCAGACAATGATACTGTGTCTGAGATAAAATATACGTGTACAACACAGACATTTAAATCTGTATTTACACCAACAACGAGGAAGTATTAAAAAAGTACGCACGCTAACTCTCGATTCCCGCCTACATTTTACACCCATTTCATTCAATACTAATGTCAATTTGGCCGTAAAATCTTTGTTGAATGCAAAGAACAGTTCAATGGTAGTTGACTGCTAATTTTGATGCCAGTGTTAATTAGTTAATTAACCCTAATTCCAACTGTTAAATAAGGGGGGGGGGGTAGACGATATTTTCCATTGAAAACGGGCTTTAAAGCATCAAGACATTTTAAAATATTCTTGGATATGAATAAATGTTCCTTTAATCTTTTCTTATGTTTTACACTTATAAAATTAAACATATATTATTAATAAGATTCAATGTTTTAGTTGTAAAACCCTTTGAAATTGGTGAAAAAATTAGCATTTTTATAGTTTTTTTGTCTGTAAACATATCCCCCCCCCCCCCCCGTGAAACACAAAAAGCTTTGGTATGAATTTGTGAAATGAAGTCCATATTACCTGTAAAAAGGAATTTATGTAGTCCAAAGTCAAAAATGTGAACAGAAGGACAGACAGACATATGGGCAGACATTAGGTGTTCAGTAAAGCCTGCTTGAACCTTTGGTCCAGTTGAGCTAAATATGAGTTAACACTGATGCCAAATTGTTGAAGGATAATACAAAGGCAACATAAAAGTGAGGCTCAATCATAGCTAACTAATCTGACAGATGGATAAAGAATTTTAATTTCACACATTCTGAGATGGATGAAGGAGGTATCAATGAGAGAAAGAAAGCTTCTCCAAATAACAAATAATTCTTAATATTTCTAACATGGAAATGCAGGATGCATTTTTATGCTACTGAGTTTTACTTGCATGTCACATGTGGCAATTTAAGTATTTCAGATGGAATTCATCTTTGTGAATGCAACACATGAAAAGAAAGGTTTTTTTAGTACCTGTAGCAGCAATACCTACCTCCTCTTCAAGTGAGCAAGTAAACTGCCTCCCCCCTCATGACCCAAGAAAAAGTCCAAGTACAACAATGGCTTTTTCCTGTGTAAAGACGAATAAAGAACCCCATAGAATAATGACCGAGGTCATTTTTTGGATCATTATTCAACGGCGAAAAATGACCCCCGGTCATTATTCGACATCGAAAAATGACCCTTTTACCCGTAGAAAAAGTGTCATCACCCTAAAAATCTGCATACCCTACGTGAAGAAAAATGACCCCCGTAGAATAATGACCCCTTGTAGATTAAAAGTTTAAATTTTTATGGGGCCAAAAAAAAAAAAAAAAAAAAAAAATAAAATAAAATAAAATAAAATAAAATAAATCAAGAAACCTATTGGCCATAATGTTTACCTGAGCTAAATTGGGAATAAATCGATGATATGTTGATCTCATTACATTATATAATTATTGCTATCGATGATATGTTGATCTCATTACATTATATAATTATTGCTGTTTTTTCAAAGTCAATGCGCTGATTCAGAATCTTGAGGGGTAAAAGATTTATTCATGGAAAATCATCGTACTGACAGAAAACCCCCCAGCAATAATTGTTTTTTTTTTATGATTCAACGATTAAATTGATACAAACTGATAAAGAGACATGTCAAGTTTCTTGTTTACATTTGCTCAAGTCCTAGGCAAACACAGTGAGAGAATCGGAGTTAACATAAGCATAACCAGTATTAATTTTGCATTTGAAATCTATTTTTGGTGCATTGTAGAATAAATTAATGTCAGTCATAACATCGAAAGGGGAAATGGTGCATCATAAGAGGCAAAAATGACAAAATACCTTAGAAATATCTTTGATGAACCCCTAAAAAGTTTAATAATATAAGGGGGATTTCCTTTTACTTTACTGTATCAAAAAGTTGGGGGTAGGGCAACCAGACTTGCAAAAAAAAAAAAAAATTACGTTCATGAAAATTGAAGGAGGAGGACACCCCACTCCACCTTAGTCCGAAATATCTGACGTTTTCCTGGCCTTTTTACGATTTTGATATTTTACGTGCCAGTTTTCCTGGCACGTAAAATATCAAAATCGTGAAAAGAGCCTGGAAAACGTCAGATATTTCGGACTACACTCCGACCCTGATTCTATGGGCCTGAATGTTATGTTCACCTTGTCCACTCAAGTAGGAGAGATTATTTTAACTATACTGTATAAAAAAGAGGGGGTGTTACAAGGCTTTCAATGAACATTTTCAAACTAGAAATTGCTAAAATTACATTCTGAAAAAATTGGGGGGGGGGGGGGGGGGCAATCCCTCCCCCTTCTCTGATTCTTTGTGCCTGAATATTAGATTCACTTGAGTGGAATTCAGACGCATGTGAAATAACTTTTCAGAATTGTTTTCATTTTTTTTAGTTTCATGTAGGAAGAAAAATCCTTATGTTCACCTGGAAGGTCAATAAAATGGTCTGTCTTTAATGATAAATTGAAAACATTAATCTAATTCAATATACACTGTATTGAAATGTTTCCATAATGATTTGAAAAAATGTATATTAAAGTAGATTTTTAAAAAATCATTCCTCTTACATGTATAGTGTATGTATTCTATTCTCTGACGACCATGTTAACAGACTTGAATAACAACCTATCAACCCGAATTACTTATCACGCACATGTACATGTATTCAGTTTATTTCTAGTTGACAGATTATTTAAGAATTTTTATGAAATAATATTATTCTGAAATGACCATAAATAAATATGAAATTTCAAAAATGGATAACATTACAATTATTGAAATAAAAATCAAAATATTAAACAAATTGACAATTACTTTTCTCAATGATAACTAAAACATGTACATCAGATTTACAATGCTGTGAGGAATTAAAAGTTCAATTGAGATGATTTCATAGTAGTTCATTCATTGATGGAACCATAGGAGTTCATTCATTGATTAATTGTCTAGTATTCCCTTCAGGTGTTTAGTGATACCTTTAGAGTTAAAGAAAAAAGTTTACAGAACTGAAAAAATAAATGTAACATATCCACCACAATAAAAATATTAAAAGTTGTAATATGAAGGAAGTTATGAGACTAGTGTTTTAAAATGTTCTTGTGTATATTAATTAAATGTCTCCAAGCCCGATGTTTATTCACTAGTATTACATGTGGTAGCAAAACACAGTTTTGTATAAAATCCAGGGTGTTTTCCCAGAGAGAAGAATAATGGGAAGGGATTTGCCTGCTATTTATAGGAGATCTACATATAGTAGGGCTATATCTCGGAAACTAGAGATGGTACCATCACCATTTTTTCACAGAAGTGGTAACTGACCACTAATACCCTACCCTCAAAATTTCAGACTCCGGGACAGGGGAATTCGATGTCACCTAACCCGATCTTTATTCATATAGTATTATATAGTAGGCCTAAACACTGGAGGGCTATATCTCGGAAACTGGAGATGGTACTATCACCATTTTTTCATAGAAGTGGTAACTGACCACTAATACCCTACCCTCAAAATTTCAGACCCCATGACTTATGTTAAAATTTTGAATTGCGAACTGCGTTCTAGAATGCAGTTCACTTTTGAATTGCAAATTGCGAACTGCGTTCCAAAATCTGATTGCCCTATCTTTTTCTCTTTCAAAAGATATCATCAATATTGAAATATTTTAAAAGAAGGTCAAAATTCAAGGTCAAGGTCAAACACTCGATGTTCAATCATATTTTATTTGGAAAGGACTTATCACAGGTAATGTACATGTGAAATATGAAAAACCCATCTTTTGTCATATAAAAGTTATGATCAAAATTAGTGTTGTAACGTGTTTGGGACAATTAATTAAACAAATGATTAGAAATGATAAGTGACAAAGCATGTGAAAATAAACGAGTCAGTATATACATATAAATAATATTAGGATTTCCTGTCCTTAAGGAAGCTCTAAACACTGCACACTAAAGAGTTCTATTTGTAGGTTAGTTTTATTGAGTTAGAGTGATCTACCCTAAGAAGAAAAATAGTATAAATGGGAATCTACAGTTAATGACACAATTTCTTATGAATTAAAGTATTCTTAATGTTATGTTAAGCCAAGATTAATTAAGTAACTGAATACATTCTTTCCATTAATTTTCCCGATGCAAGTAAACAACAGTGATTTCTGTTCACCAATAGTTCACTATCTTTGAACATTAATAAGGCAGGCACCCTATGTTGAAAATGAACTAGATACACTGAATATGTGCACCTTTATATGATATATTTTTCTCAAAGCCCAAAAAGCATTTTTCATTAGTGTTTAGAGCTTCCTAAACGTAAAGCATGCAACTATCTTTAAACAATTATTGGTATGGGTCTCGCACAGGTCTGTATCCTGTATGTATCAGTACCAGGACAGGTACGGTCTCAAATCCGGGATAGGTCCTGTATTCAGACAGGTCTGTGTCCTGCATGTATCAGTACCAGGACAGGTACGGATCTCGAGGTCTCTGTCCTGTACACAGACAGATCTTAATAAAATTCGAGGAAAAGTAATTACAACTTTATTAACCTGAATAACGTAAACCCAGTATACTAGACACCGTATACTGTATTAATTACAAGCCTTATTAACCTCCGCCGTACCTCACCATTGTGCCTTCAACGACCGTCTACACTGCGCTCCGACTGGCAACTGCCAGCTTCCTGCTGAACGCTCATATATATACTGATGTATACCCGGACTACCCTTGGCCGCTATCGTATCACATTACGATAAAGTCCGGCTGACGTAATGTATAAAGACATCCCGAGCCCGATCTCTGTCACAGTGTTTTTGTGACAGACTTACAGACGAATGAGATTAAATGTTCCCTCGCTTTAGCAAAAACGGGGGACAACAAACAAAACAAAAACAACAGACATAAGACATTGTGAAGAATGTTTTTTATTTGAGATAACATATATGTAAATTCATTTCAAAACTACTTCTGCAGAAATCTTTTGTACTTCAAAAACAAATTCAGTTTAACATAATACTGTCAACCCTGCATCCATGGTCGATACTCAAATTTCACATTTTAAGGTACACTATACATGTATTTTCATGATGGATTAAAAGAAATAGAATTAACTGTAATGAAAGGAAAGTTCTGTCAAAACAATGCCAAAACAATCACTTTTTCATTAAAGAACTAAAAGCATGCTAAGGTATTCACAAAAGATTGTCAGCACATGTGGGTCTTTTCTTTAATGATATTCTCAACGTCCTTCAAACAACTGCTTGATATTTCTAAAGGCTTTGACACATAACTGTGAACCTTAACTAAATTATTTTGAATTAAATCTTTTTCATTTACCAATCTCCATTTCATACCAATCATGGTGTTACATGCATTCCAGATTACCGAATTTTGCCCCTCTTTTATTAAAAAGCGGTATTAAATTTTGTTTGGAACTTCAGAAAAAATCTCTTTGACCCATTACCTCGAAATGATATGAGGGCACAAAGTAGATCTGAAGGTAGGTTTATATTATTGTAAACCAAATGTTTTCATGCAAAGTACTTTCATAAGTTGAACACAACCAGGAAATCATGAAATTTTGTCCTTATAATTGAAGACAATAATCTTCCTAATTATCAAAAGCAAAAACAGTTTAGAACATAGTAGTCAAGAAGAAAACATCTTAGCATCTGAGCTCAGAATTAAAGAGAAATGATTTACAATATATTTTATCATGTTACATGTACATGTGTGTTTCCTATGACAGACTGGAGATAATAATAATTTTAGTTGGGGAAGAAATTTAAAACCTTAAAAAATTCTGAATCAATCTATCTATAGTTTGGCTAAGGTTTTAAATTCCTTCCCCAACTAAAATTATTATACAAAATAATACATGTGTTGGTTGTTATTAAAAAAAGTATACTTGCTTTTCAATTGAACTGGCTAGTCAGTTCTATTGCATACTTGTGTGCTGGTAGTTTATCTGAAATAACAAAAATACACACTAAAAAGATGTGTTTGTGAAACACTGATGGCCCAGTATGGCAATTTATAACAAAGGTTAAACTTTCTCAAATGCAAATCAAATATGTTGGTACCCAAAGTAAGGTCTTGTCTCGATGAATAAACCTGTGAAATATGAAAGTCTTAGCAGCAATCATTGAATAGATATGGAAAAGGTTAAAGTTTTTCAAAAGTATGTCAAACATCAAGATCAAATGGTCAAAATTAATGGTGTCCAGGGAAAGACCTTCTCCCAAGAAATACACAGGTGAAGTATGAAAGCCAAAGCACCAATCGTTCAAAAGTTATGACCAAGGTTAAAGTTATCCAAAAGTAGGCCAAACTCCAAGGTAAAAGGGTCAAAGTTGCTGATATCCAAAAAGAGGTCTTGTCACAAGAATTACATATGTGAAATATGAAAACCCTAGCACCAACCGTTCAAAAGTTATGGCCAAGGTTAAAGTTTTCCATAAGTAAGCCAAACTCCAAGGTCAAGATCAAGGTCAAAGTTGTTTGTATCCAAAGGAAGGTCTTATCACAAGGATTACATATGTGAAGTATGAAAGCCCTAGCACCAACTTCAAAAGTTATGACCAAGGTTAAAGTTTTCCAAAAGTAGGTCAAACTCCAAAGTCAAGGTCAAAGGGTCAAAGTTGTTGGTATCCAAAGAAAAGACTTGTCACAAGGATTACATATGTGAAGTATGAAAACCCTAGCATCAACTGTTCAAAAGTTATGGCCAAGGTTAAAGATTTCTAAAAGTAGGCCAAACTCCAAGGTCAAAGGGTGAAAGTTGTTGGTATCCAAAGGAAGGTCCTGTCACAAGAATTAAGTATGTGAAATATGAAAACCCTAGCACCAACTGTTCAAAGGTTATGGCCAATGTTAATGTTTTCCAAAAGTAGGTCAAACTTCAAGGTCAAGGTCAAAGGGTCAAAGTTGTTGGTATCCAAAGAAAGATCTTGTAACAAGAATTACATATGTGAAGTATGAAAGCCCTAGCTCCCACCGTTCAAAAGTTATGGCCAAGGTCAAAGATTTCTAAAAGTAAGCCAAACTCCAAGGTCAAGGTCAAAGGGTGAAAGTTGTTGGTATCCAAAGAAAGGTCTTGTCACAAGAATTACCTATGTGAAGTATGAAAGCCCTAGAATCAACTGTTCATGTGAAGTTATGGCCAAGGTTAAAGTTTGGTAAAATGTTGCAAAACTGGGTCAAACTCCAAGGTCAAGGTCAAAAGGTCAAATATGGTTGTACGCTAAGAAAGGTCTTGTCACAAGGAATACACATGTGAAATATGAAAGCCATAGCTTCAACGAATCAAAAAGCTATGGGCAAGGTTAATGTTTTTGCGGAGAAACAGACTGACAGACGGACGGACAGGGCAAAAACTATATACCCACGAATCTTCGATACGGGGGCATAAAAAAGTGTTTCTGATTACTCAAACCAAGAGAGTGCAATCCATAAATTAGTATTTGAATGTTTGCTATCTAGAGTATGTACTATAATTTTTTACTTCAGTAATCCTGATATTGTGGAGGATCCCTCCCCCTCACCTCCAGTACCTACTGACATTCCCGAGGATGCCATCAATGCCAGAGTACCACTGAATGCTCTCTATCAAGTGTTGCACCACGGAGAGAACGCTAGTGGTGATAGTGTATCAGCTGATCCAGAGGATGCCACATCTAAGGTCAGTAACTGAACTAATAAGAGAGTTCTGTTCAGTCCAATATTTGGGTGAATTAAAAAAAAATACCACCAAACTGAAATGTTTTGGAAAAATTCAACTACTTATAACATATTTTTCACTTATATCATCACATTTGATATGCATTCTAGTTAAAAATCCTGAAGTTACAATAGAATAGACAATTGAATTAAAAAGTTTCAGATTTTTTATTAGTAAAATTTCTTTTGTAAAAAGAAAATATCAATACACTTTAAAAGACTTTCTAAAATACATAATCACAAGAAATTATTGTTTTATATGATGAAAAGTATTCCCTGAATTGACTGTAAAATTTCTGTATTTTGTTGATAGGCATAGTGTTTTGAACATCAAATAGTATCAAACATTTTTTTCCACTTATTTTTTAGTAAAGATAGTTAAAAAGCATTGGTAATTATAAAACAGTTTTGTTGCACTCCTGACTGCAGTTAAATATAAGATTAAAACCATAGAACACAAAAATTCATAAAGTGTTGGCAACATCAAGTGATGATGAAATTGTACAATATTTATAGTCCAATTCTTCATAATTAAAACAGATGAAAGTATTTAAAATTCACATTTTGTCTGGAATTATTCCATATTTATGCCCAAAAAACTAGCTTAAATGTATATTTAGAAGATAAAATATATTTTATAGCATATTTTCCTAAGGAGGACAAACACAGTAACCCACCAGAAAAATTTTACTCATCATTTTTTCTTTATTTTTATTCTTATTGGATGATTTATAATTCTAACATATTTGTTGCACTCCTGACCAAAAGCACTGGGACCTTTAAAGTAGAATTGTGAAGTGAAAATTACATAAGTTAACTGAATAATGTTATAATGTAATAAATTAAGTTAATTAACTTTTATTTAAAATTAATTAAATTAAAATTAATTAAATTAGTTAAGTAAATTAAGTTAATGTAATCATGTAATAAATTACATAATAAAATTACATTACATAAAATTACATAAGAACTTGTTCTGTTGTTTCAGTGAAGTTGAGGAAGAATTACTTGAATTTTATGACAATTTTTAGTGTGTTTATTTTTAACATTCATTAAAATAATCACAAAAAAGATAAAAACTCATCTGAATTGATAAAATTGAAAAAGGAAGGATTTTAATAATTAAACTGTCAATAATTTAGCATTAAATTATACAAAAAGATCATTTTTAATTAATTAATACTTCTAAGTATGAATAGAAGTGTTTTCTTCACACAACTTGAATCTTCAAAAAAATGTGTTGCACTCCTGACCATAGAAATATAGATCTGAAGCACAGATAGATCCTGTAATTGATAGATCTATTAAGTAAAAATGTTTTGTGTCTTTATTATCCAAAATAAAAATAAGAAAATCATATAATGATAATAGTTTTTTTTCAGGCTTGGGAGAAAAACATCAAATGTTGCACTCCTGACATTATTGGGTATGCACATATACTTGACATATACTTGACACTCATTAATGCTGCTTGTGATTTATATAACATTTTTAAGTTTTAAAATGTATATCAGTTATTGTTTTACACTTTGAAAATTCTTTTTTGTCTTAATGTTCTTTCAGAATTTTACAATTGATGGTTTTTGGCAACACTACATTTTCTGTTGCACTCCTGACATGGTATAACATTGTTTTAAACGTTAGCCATGATCACAACTCGATAAAACAAAAGTTACTACAGTCCACATTTAAAGCTCAATACTTTGAATACTATCAGGAAAGTCTTTATTTTCAACATAAAGCATTATTATTTATTTCACAGATCTCCAAAAAATATTGAAATTTCAAAATGTCACAAAAAGGTCTTGCACTCCTGACATTTTTAGCATCATTTTTGGGCATAACTTTTTGTTAATTGAGATATCAACGAGATATTTGGCAGGTATTTAGACATTATCTAAAGACATATGCTGACATATAGAAATCTATTTTCATTGCCTGTATTTTTAGTGTGGGTTGATAAATATGCGTTTGGTCTTTTTTTTAAGTCACCCATTTTACTTGTAGATCCAGTAAAAGTATTTCATATGAACCAGTCAGAATTCAGAATTGTAATCAACATTTATCAGAAATATCTGAATTTGCATGCATGAATGCATTTAATAATCTTGTTCGTTTTTTTTTTTTGGTTGAGATGGTGTACTTTTAGGATACACATATAGTAACGGATTCCTTCAAGTTTTAATTTTGATTTGGAGTTTGTTGATTATTTACAGGAGAAGCTGTCAAGTGTGTACCAGGAGTTGGGCAGTGATAATTTAGAACCTCTTCCCTACAAAGTCCTTGTGGTACATCTCCTCATACAAGATGTAATGGCTGCCTGTCAAACATTTAAATCTCTGGTCAGCACTCAATAACTAAAAAATTCTATACATGTATAACTACATTCTTGCCAAAGTTTCAAACATGCCCGAAAAATGGAAATGAATTTTGTACAATCTGGACTATACATTTTTAAAATGACATATATATTCAACCTCCTCTACAGAAATATGCGCGTACAATTATATGACCTAATTGAAGACATTATTATGCATCCCGAGTACTGGCAAGTAGCATGTATATAAAAAAGTGCTATGGTTTTAATTATTATTTTGTAGGATATTCGTGGAATTCTTAATAATTCAACCCAAGATATGGATATCCACAGCACAAAAACAATGGAATAGAAGAAAACAAATGCTTCAGGAAGTGATAATTTAGAAGATTCTTCCTTTTTTGCATATACTTGGACAGAAGAAAAGTAGACTATATGTACTTAGCCTATTTAGAAGGCATATGATTTTTAAAATGTACATATGTAAATGATTTATTTCTATTATAGTATTTAGTAATAGCATAATTTTGGTGTGAACTGTTTATACGCTTTGCAATCTGTGATGGATGTCACATGACCCGTGACGCCCTCGCATACCAGAGGCACTGCATTTGTCTGTGATCAGCACTTGTTGATGGGATTTGAAGTGATGGGAGGGGCAAATTCAATACCAACACAAACTGCTAAGGCAAAAAATATATATTTTACTGCATTTTGTTTTGGATTTGTCGCTGGCATTGTGGACTTCCTGTTATCTGCTGTCAACAGTAACTTAGTCCTAGAGACTGTTTATTAATGATATATCAATGTTAAATGTGTATTTATTTAATTTGTTTTATTTAACATTTTACAAGACTGAAAGCATTTATTTTTCGTGATTGATAACATGTAATCTGTGATAAAAATCTGAGGAATGTAATTCTGGTTGCTTAATAAAGTGATGATACATGTAACTGCTACAGGTATTAATTGTTTGTTTATAGGCAATGCATATAGACATATTACAAGAGGTTCATGAGCCACACCATTTACCTTGGTCCAAGGATAACTATTTTATATTTGTACTTTTATATTTAAGATGACTTTGACCACACCTCTCCAAGATTGCATTTTTATCAGTTGGAAAGTCTTTTAAAAAAATTGATAAAACTTCAAATGCAGATTCAGATTAATGAAAGCAATTCATCTGTCATAATTTTGTGGTACATGTTCCATCTGACCTTGACCTTAATATAATTTTTCTTCATTTTCCTCTTAGTTCGTATTATATTGAATTCAGAAAAGGATCATTTTATATTCTATACACAGATAAATCTCAGCAAGATCAAATCACACGAGAATTTTGACTTGAGAAAAATGGGACATTTCCTTTCATATTGCATATTCTTAATGCCTAAGGAACCGCCCTGTATTTGCTATATAAACAATCATCATATGTTGATTATTAATATAGAGTTCTCCTTTTCGTGGGCATAAAAAATAACTGTTAAGCAAAGTTGCTGTCTTACCCATCACTCACGAACAATAAATGTATAAAAGACATTCTGAAACCAAACCTTGCTGCTCTATATGGCATTTTCCGTCTCCCCATTGATTTCTATCTTTCTGTGATCCAATATCATAATGAATAAGAAAAAAGAAATCATTTAGAAATTTTATTAGATTTCCCAATGTCAATACAAATAATGATTATATAGCTACATATACTGTCCAGAGGCTGTACCTTTCCACATGCTATGTCATCCATGAATAATCTTTATCAGCTATAATTAAGATGCCCTCACCATATTCCAGTCTCCTTTATGTCAAGTTTTGGTATATTATAAAGATTTAATACAGTCAAACCCTATTATCTCTCACTCAATGGGACCAAGAAAAAACTTAGAGGTATCCGAGTATTCGAGATACTGAGGGTTAAATACCGTAAATACTTGTATATAAGTCGGTCCGCCTATAAATCAGCTGTATTATTTAAGCTTATATTAGATGGCTTGACCCTCTGAAATACCAATCTTTTTATAACTCGCCTATAAGTCGGACATAGAGTTTTGGACCAAAATTTAACTCCCAAAAGACCAACGTATAGGCGAATATACGGTACTTAAAGAATAAGTGGTTGGGACTTCCAATTCACTTCGACATATACATGGTATTCGAGATATCAGTGTTTGAGATACCGAAGTTCAACTGTATTCACTTTTTGAAAGCTTTTTGTTTCTTTGTGGAACATGTATATCTTATACCATGTTTCATTCCCTCATAAAATAACCTCATGCTTAATTATCACAATGACTGAACGTCCCACTTCCTGAATGATAGTTTCTTTTCTTTAAAAGGTCAAAATATTGAAACAATTAAAACAGAACTAACCCCCACCCCACCTCCCTTTCATTGTACCTATCTTCAACCTTCATCATTTGTGACACAGTGATAGTCAAACATCGTGAGTTTCGATCTGAGGTGCTGTATGTCACTGATACATTGATGATCTGGGTAGTTACAGTCTTTGACAGGTCTCACAACATAGCTCTGTTCTCTATCATATTTGTCTGTATTAGCTTTCTTCTGGGGAGCCCGCGTGGCGCAACGGTCAGAGCGTCTGCTCTAGAGTCGTGGCGTAAGGAGTTGATCCTTACGTCGCGGGTTCGAATCCCACTGTGGGACGTGGAGACCGGTCCTTCGGATGAGACCGTATAAACCGAGGTCCCTTGTCGCAGTAGGTGCTGGCACGAAAAAGATCCCTCACTGCTCAATGGCCGTAAGTGCCGAGTATAGGACAAAATGTGCAGCTCTCCACCGGCAAGTGGTGGCGTCTCCATATGAGTGAAAAATTCTCGAGAGGGACGTTAAGCAACAAACAAACAAACAAAATCTTCTGGGGAGGTTCCACTTCATCACCCTTCCCATCTATTTGCTCCTCTTCTGGGTTTCCAAGAACCTGGAGCACAAATATTAGATTAAATCTTGGCCATAACCTTTGAATGGTTAGTGCTAGAGCTTTCATACTTAACATATGTATTCCTTGTGATAAAACCTTCTCCTGGGTATGAATATTTACTACCTTGAGCTTGGAATTTGACCTACTTTTGAAAAACTTTAACCTTGACCATAACTTGTGAATGGTTAGTGCTAGCTCTCACATTTTGCATGTGTATTCCTTGTGACAAGACCTATCTTTGAGTAGAAATATTTTAGACCCTTCGACCTTGACCTACTTTTGAAAAACTTTAATCTTGGCCTTAACTTGTGAATGGTTGGTGCTAGGGCTTTCATATTTCAAATGTGTTTTCTATGTGTCAACTTTTTTGGAACCAACAATTTGACCTTTTGACCTTGACCTCTGAGTTTGACCTATCTTTGAAAAACTTAAGCCTTGGCCTTAACTTTTCAAAGCTTGGGGCTAGAGCTTTCATATTTCACAGATGCATTCCTTGTGATAAGACTTTTTCTTAAGTACCAATATTTTTGACCTCATGACCTTGAGCTTTTGAAAAACTTTAACATTGACCATAATTTCTGAATGGTTGCTGCAGGGGCTTTCATATTTCACAGGTGTATTCCTTGTGACAATACTTTTCTTTGAGTACCAACATTTTTGATCTCTTTACCTTGACTTTGGAGTTTGACTTGCATTTGAGAAACTTTAACTTTGCCATGAGCTGTCATATGGGGGCATTAGTGTTTCACGAACAAATCTTGTTTTAATACATGTAAATAAATTCACAGCAACAAGTTGAATCTGATAAAGACACCACTAAGTTTTACACAGATAAATGTATTGCTTGTATTTTTAAATTCGTGGTCAAAACAAGTTTTCTAGAATGTGGCAGTAAATACTGATGCGAGTTTTTATACCTGAAAGCTTATCCGTTTCTGGTTTTCTCCAAGATACTGCTTGTACCAGTTCCGCAGGTCTTCTACTGCTAATACCCTCAGTACAGTTACCTACTGTAGAAGAAGTTGATCACTCCATGGTATGAACATTCATACAGATTAGAATACCTACAATGTATGTTATAATAGCACTTCAGACTTCAAATGCACATAAAATTGCATCAGAAAACATATGTATGCACTTATTTCACTGACTCTCCTTTATTTCATAATAATCATTCTAAATACACGTAATATAATAAAGACCTCTTTCTCTAGCCTGTCAAACACATAGTTTTGTTCCTTGCACTTCCCTCGGTATCTGTTGACTTCCTCCTCTAACTGTGAATCCTCTGTAAGCTTGGCTGCTATCAGAGACTCCACCTTAAATAGACGACAGGGACTTCAGACCAAGACAACAATGATCACATTTTTACATGAAGTATACAGTAAAGTCTTTCAAGGAGGCAACAAAATTGTTAAAGCAACAGAATTAAAGTGAGTTCAGTAATTCCCAAAGTATCAAACTCTTCTTTGGACATTTCATCCAAGATCTCTTTGAACTTGTTTAGAAAACCCTCAATATGGTTGTCAACTTCATGAATTCTACATAAAATACAATAATTTGGTTTATCAATTTTTTTAACCAAAAAAAAAACTGTCAATGAAATTCATATGACAGAAGTAACACTAAAGCAAGTAAAAAAACACTCTTTATAACCTCATCCATCTTGAAAGTTGTAATGAAACAGCAAATTAACTTAACAGTGTTAATTTAAAATGAAAGCTGTAATTCATTTGCATGAAATCTCTGAGGTTTCAGAATAACCCAGAGTATATATGTACATGTGAATATATACAGATAATGAAACTCTTACGTGAACTTCTGGGCTTGAAATTGGATTGTTACAGCGAGTCCCATGATGCCATTGGTGACCAGATTCTGACAGTATACAGTGTAACCCAGCTGTAGTTGTGTCCTCAATACATCAAAACAGGGCTCCTGCATTCTTAACTATGCAAAAAGAAGTTTACATGTGGAGTGCCATACATATATGTGAGGAATGTAGCTCACTTTTATATCAATCACAGAAAACATGGCAAAAGGTGTATAAATGAATAAATGAAAGTCAGACTTCATGTAGTACTCTGACTGAATTTTTGGAAAGGCTTATAACACTTACATCTAAGAGTTCGTTAATGACAGTTGACCTGATATCCCCGGGGTCAGACTGAACGTACACAGTGATGCTGGAGTTGGCATCCTCCATGTTAAAGCTGTTTGTCTGGCAGTAACTCCACTGTTTAGGAATCTGGTACAATCTTTTTTACAAAAAACATGAAAAAAAAAAAAGAAACTTTCTAGGTATCTAGTTGAATAAAGATGTAATACATCAAATGTAATGTTGAAATCAATCTTATAATGCATACTATATTCATATTGTTGAGCACATAAGAACTTTCACATTTCAGCTATTACAAGAATAAAAGAAAATATATTATTAGCTCATCAAATGCATTAAAAACTCTGGATATTTTA